TTGTTCCCATGTGAACTTCAGTCAACCAAGAAATAATGGGAAGCTGGGGCCAAGGGGACAGGAGTGTGCGTAGAATATATTTAACTGAATAACTAAGACCTGAATAAATGTAGGTATTAGAGTGATGGAATCGAATGTATATGCTTCCTATTGTACCAATGCAGAAATGACACAAATATAAACAATTGGAAGGGGGATGAAGGCAAAGGGTGGGAGAAAGAAGTAATATGCTGTTTACTTCATTAATAATAGCAGAGAACTAAAGAATATCATTTAAAGCTGAGAAATATTAGAAATGTAAACATATTTAATTGTACAAAGATAAACATTAAAAAAGGTAATACTAGTGATGAAAATTGACTGGTAGAGGAAAGAGAGGGGGAGGAGGGGGAAGAGGAAATAATTTTAATATTGTTCTTTTTAGGGGATTAAGAGCTACAGTCTAAAGAACCAGACAACTAAGGGCATACAATAATAAAGGTAATAATTAGGACCCAAATCAAAATTTCCTAAATATTACAAGAAATGTACACCAAAAGACAAAGTCATAGTAAGTGAAAAGAAAACATAGTATAAGACTTCAAATATTATAAATGTTGTTGATGAAAAGGTCAAACTGTAAAATATTAAAGAGATTTGTTCTGAGCCAAATACGAGTGACCAATGGCCTGTGACACAGCCCTCAGGAGATCTTGAGAACAGGTGATCAGACTACAACTTGGTTTTATACATTTTAGGGAGACATAAGACATCAATCAGTACATTTAAGATGTACATTGCTTTGGTCCAGAAAGGAAGGACAACTGGAAGCAGGGGTTCCTAGGTCATAGGTAGAGTCAAAGATTTTCTGATTGGTAATTGAAAGAGTTAAGTTATTGTCTAAAGACTTAGAATCAATAGAAAGGAATGTCTGGGTTAAGATAAGGGCTTGTGGAGACCTAGGTTTTATCATGCAGATAAAAGCTTCTAGGTAGCTGGCTTGAGGGAATAGATTGTAAATGTTTCTTATCAGACAAAGAGGCTGTTCTATCAGTCTTAAGGTCTGTGTTAATGTCCATGCTGGTCGGCTGGGCCTAAATTTCAAAAGGGATAAGGGCATAATGAGGCATGTCTGGCTTCCTCTTCCCATGATGGCCTCAACCAGTTTTTCAGGTTAACTTTGGAAGGCCCTTGGCCAAAAGGAGGGGTCCATTCAGATGGTAAGGGGGCTTAGAATTTTATTTTGAGTTTACAATACAGAAAATATAACATAAAATATTACAACAGAACTAAGACTAAACATGTATGGCATATCAAGTAATGTGAATTAGCTAAACCCGCCGTAAAGAACACAGAGCTCCCTTGGTGGAAGTGTATGTGGGTGTGGGTGGCGGTGGCAAATGCAGAGCACACAGAGTCATCTCCTAACCCCCCACCCCATGGTAGAACATGAAGGAAGCCCCAGAGCAAGTTTAAGAACCATTGTTCTGTCCCATCTCTGGTAAGCAGGAGGAGATTCCAGATGCAATCCAGGTTTGGGGAACACAGATTGTCTAGAGGACCACACAACTGACAAGGAAAATATTCTCTAGGCTTTGTCTCCCTGCCCTGTGGTCCTGAAGGCCCTGGCTGAAGTGAGAGGGACATCAGAAGGATGACCTCACCTGATTTCCCCACTGTTTATTTAGCTTGCTGGTCCCCACCCCACCCCTCCTTAAGCAAGGTGTCCAAGCAGGGCTTTGTGGCCCTGGGACATAGGCTCACTTGCTGGCTTCACAGAAGCATGAATGCATGGGGTGTCAGGTGATGGGGGAAGATATTTTAGCACGTGGGTGCCAGAGGCCAGAGGGGTTTTCTCTACTGTCTCCTCCCCTCCACCTGTAGGGGAGGAAAGGTTAGCTTAATTGGTCCCTCCAGCAGCAACTTCAGGTAGATGGAAAGTGTCCATTGGCCCTGAGTCACCCTGTATTGGCGTGTCCCACTGAGTCTTGGGGGATCAGTTCAGAGCTGCAAGGGAGGCTTTGGTTATCGTGGTCTTACTGTTCAGGCCAAGGTGGGTGATTGGGTCTCCCAGTGGTGACTGGGCAGGGGCAGAAAACCCTCATCTCAACCCTTTTCTCTGAAAGCCACCCTTAAGGGCCTACATTGACTTACTGGGCAATGGTGGTGTGTGGGTCCTCTTGTGCAGCTTTATTCTGCTACAGGTGCTTGTCATGGACAGGAGGAGGTTCAGGGGAGACCACAGCTGAGTCAGTTCACCTCCACTGTCCACCAAGAGTTAGCATCACTGGGTATTGGGGGAAGTGAGACCTCAAAGGCTATTTCATCCAACCCAACCCCTTGTAGATGAGGAAGCTGGTCCAGAGAGTGGGTAAAGGTGGCCCCACAGACTGCAGCCTGCTGACTCCCGTCCAGCGTTCCTTCCACCACCACACACTGGCTTCCTGTGGCTGAGGTGTTTGGCAAAAGTGGGGCTGAGAGACATCAGTGCACCATTCATGGAGGCACTAAGAGGGAGATGCTGGCCTCATGTCCAGGAAGCAGAAGGGGTTAGGACAGGGAGAGAACCAGTGTGGAGGAACTTTAAGGCTGGGTTGTAACTGAGATTTCCCACTTCTACTTCCTTTTGATTATTATCTGATGTTTATGGTGCTGAGAAATGTGTTTGGCTCCTGCAGCAACTGTCACTGACTTAGAAGGGACTGAAAATGCAGACAAATTAGGAAATTCATGAGGGGCGGCATTCCTCCAGGCCATGAGGTTGGAAGGAAGGGGAAGGTCAAATGGGTACTGAAGGAGGAAAGGCTCTTTCGTGACTTTTTTTTTTTTTTTTTTTTTTGAGATGGAGTTTTGCTGTTGTCACCCAGGCTGGAGTGCAATAGTGTGATTTTGGCTCACTGCAACCTTCACCTCCCGGGTTCAAGTGGTTCTCCTGCCAGGTTCAAGTGATTCTCCTGAGTAGCTGGGATTACAGGCACGCGCCACCACACCCAACTAATTTTTGTATTTTTAGTAGAGACAGAGTTTCACCATGTTGGTCAGGCTCGTCTCAAACTCCTGACTTCAAGTGATCCACCCACCTCGGCCTCCCAAAGGGCTGGGATTACAGGCGTGAGCCACCGCGCCCGGGCAGGAAATGCTCTTTTAATTGTAGAGGGAAGGGAACTCAGAGATGATCTGAATTAGGCCTTTTTGGCTGCATGTAGCAGGAGTACCCACGATCCGCAGCTCAGATGTAGAGGGAGAATGGGTTACGTGGATGCTGCTCAGTCCCAAAGAGCCCTAGGCAGTGGCTACTGCTGTTCCTGGGCCAGGCTCAGAACTGGAACCACAGTGCAGAAAGCTGGGCAAGGCTCTTCCTTCTGTTTTCATCTCTGGTTTGTCTATGCAAGTGTTTCCTTCTCTCTCCCTGCAGACTGGCTCTCAGCAGAGTATGGCCCACTGCTGTCATCTTTGGCTGGGTGGCAATGGGCCTCTGCTCTCTATTTCATGAGCAGGACAAGTCAGCCTTGCTGATTTATCACAAGCCCATGCTCCCAGGACTGGGTTGGGGGTGAGGATCTGTTGGTCCATTGTGGGTCAGGATCCAGGATGGCCCCATCAGCTTAGGTCATGGATCGGGGTCCCTGGATAGATATGGCTCGGGTAGATTGTGGGGGATAAAGGTGGCACTTTTGAGAGAAAGAAGGAGGCTACCGATGATGGACTTCACCCACATGTCCACTGCAGATCCTGGATAATACTCTTTTGACATCCACAAGGGAGCTTCTCAGAAGAGCAAGCACATGCAGGGAAAAAAGTGGAATCTGGTTTGTTTTGTGGGTGTTGTTTCTTTGACACCTTTAAAATTCTGTTTACCTGTGTGCCTTTTCTGTGCATTCCAGCAAATTGCCTCACACTGCATACAGTATCAAAAATCTCTAAGGAATATCTCATGGATTTAATAAGTAAACTTAATTTGGGGAGTTTTTTTTTTTAATTTGGGGAGTTTTTTTTTTGGTGATTTGGGCTAGATTTTCCATTCATTTTGTCAGTCACATATCTGTTGAATCCCATTATGTACCAGGGCTCTGCCTGTAGGTCTGTCACATAAAGGCTCAGAGACTCCCAGCTGCAGGCTGCACTGCTCCAGACACCGTGTTCCTTCCCTCTTGTGGCTCATGATGCCCTAGAGCAGTGGCTCTCAAGCTTAAGCCCACATCAGAATTACCCAGAGAACTTCTTAAAACATAGGCTGCCCAGCCCCTGTTTCTGATTCAGTAGTTCTGGGGTGGGGTCCTGAGAATTTGCATTTCTGACAAGTTCCCAGGTGATACTGATACTGCTGGTCCAAGGACTACGTGTTGAGAAATCACTGCCCTTAGGGTGTGTTCTTGCTAACATGTGCAGAGCTGTTGCTGCCACATCTGTGTGCAACCAGCAAAGATGGTGAGAGAGAAAGGCCAGGGCAGCCAACTTCCTTTGAAGCATGTGGGGCTGGCAAAAGTGGTTGGCTCTCATGACATAGTCAGGGACTTGGTCATGTGGTCACACCCTGTTGCTAAGGAGGCTGGCAAAGTCATCTCTGACTGGGTTTCCATGTGCCTGGAAAAGGGTAAGGGCATGTGTGTGGGGACATCAAGAGATCTGCCAGAATGGGCCCATGGAGACAAAAAGAGAAGGCCAGATCTTGGTGATGGGGACAGACATGAGAAAAACCCCTTAAGGTGCATGGTGACGGTGTTGTAATGGCAGTTTATTCGAAGGGAGAATAGGGCAGAAGAGCATGGGTCTGCAGGCCTCAGCAGAGGCTGCCCTAGAAGGAGAAGCAAGCCAAGCTTGGAAGCAGGAGTGCAGTTGGCTGGAGTTGCCCATTTCCTCTCTTGAAGGCAGCCAGCTGTCCCTCCACTTGGGCTGTGCTCTTCTCAGTCTCTCATGAACTGGGCGTCTCCTTTGCTTCCCATCCCCATTGTTTTGTGGGTTGAGCTGTTGTATTTCCCAGGTCTTAAGCTTTTTTTTTCTACCCTGTCTCCCAGGCGTCTTGGCTCTGGAGAAGGCTGCGTGGCAAGAGGCGGCCAGTGATAGCGTTCTGCCTCTTGATGACCCTCTCTGCGATGGCTGTCACCCGCTTTCCCCCACAGCGCCCATCTGCTGGCCCAGACCCTGGTCCCATGGAGCCTCAGGGGGTAACTGGCACCCCTGCAACCCGTATCCGGCAGGCTTTGAGCTCCAGCCGGAGGCAGCGGGCAAGAAACATGGGCTTCTGGAGAGGCCGTGCTTTGCCCAGGAACTCCATCTTGGTCTGTGCTGAGGAGCAAGGCCATAGAGCAAGAGTGGACAGAAGCAGGGAGTCCCTAGGAGGGTACCTCAGGCATCCAGGAAGGGTCAGGAGGGACATTACTTTGTCAGGACATCCAAGACTCAGTACTCAGCATGTTGTGCTCCTGAGGGAGGATGAGGTCGGAGATCCAGGAGCCAAAGACCTGGGTCACCCCCAGCATGGCGGTCCCATCCAAGAGACACAGAGTGAGATGGTTGCCCTGGTCGGTCCACTCCCAGGGAGCGACGTGGCAGCTTTACGGGCTTGGAGAGCTACTGCTGGGCTGACATTCTGGCCCCATACAGCAGAAGGCAGGGATCTGCTGGCAGCTGAGAACAGAGCCTTGACTGGTGGGCGACAAGCAGAGGATCCCACCTTGGCCTCAGGGGCTCATCAGTGGCCTGGCTCTGTTGAGAAGCTGCAAGGGTCAGTATGGTGTGACGCTGAGACGCTGTTGAGCAGCTCTAGGACTGATGGGCAGGCTCCCCCATGGCTGACAGACCACGACGTGCAGATGCTCCGGCTGTTGGCGCAGGGGGAGGTGGGGGGCAAAGCCAGGGTCCCCGCCCATGGGCAGGTGCTACAGGTTGGCTTCTCCGCTGAGGGTGCCCTTCAGGGCATGTCCTCTCCCAGGCTCAGCCAACTCTGCTCCCAGGGGCTCTGTGGCCTGATCAAGAGGCCTGGGGACCTGCCTGAGGTCCTGTCCTTCCACGTAGATCGCGTGCTGGGGCTGCGTCGGAGCCTACCTGCTGTGGCCCGCCGCTTTCACAGCCCCCTCCTGCCCTACCGCTACACAGACGGTAGAGCGAGGCCTGTCATCTGGTGGGCGCCCGATGTGCAGCATCTGAGTGACCCGGATGAGGATCAGAACTCTCTGGCCTTGGGCTGGCTGCAGTACCAGGCCCTGCTGGCACACGGCTGCAGCTGGCCAGGCCAGGCCCCATGCCTGGGCATCCATCATACCGAGTGGGCACGCCTGGCGCTCTTCGACTTCCTGTTGCAGGTAGGTGGGGTTGGGCAGTGGGGTTAGAGAGCTGCAGAGGTAGGGGGTTCTGGGTGGAGAGGCCTGAATTGCCCACCTGAGGTTGGATGGTGACTCTCCCCCAGGTCCTGGTTTTTTGACCACCAAGCACCTGTTTTTGTAATTTTCCTTCCTCTATTTATTTATCCAGTGGTTACCAGAGCCAGCTCATCAGTTCACAAGAGCTGATGGCTAAAATTTTCAGGAATTTTGTACCTAGTTGTGAAACACAGGCATTATGAAAAAATTGAGTTGTAGAAACAATAATAAATTATATTAGCAACGAAGGTAATAACTACTCAGAATGCATTATTTCCTAAGTATTTTCCTATCATCTGTGCTTTTGCAGCTTCGTGTCTATGTAATAAATGCTGGCTAACGGTGTGCCACTGCACATCTCTCAACAACTCCACATTTGCTCATGTTGGTAGCTTGAAATCCATCAGGGTGTGAATATCTGTTTACACCATGGAAAGCAGCAAATGCTACAAATCAGGACTCCCCTCTACTCCTGGAGAGCTGATTGTTCAACATTTGCCAGCACACCACTGTTTATAACTTTACATCTTTGACTC